CCGACTTAACAGTACCAATTTTGGGAACATCCAATGAGAAAGTCACTAAACGAGTAAGTCACCAATCCCTAAAACGGACTATGTAATGTACTTTATCGGCTGGGTTACAGGTGGGCATTTTACTAGAGGTTTATATTGTATCAATCCTCTCTTGTGTGATCCTTGTTGAAGCATATACTCGGGGGTGGGTACAGGACGAATGATTTCAAAATGGACTCCCATTCATTAGATAGAGAAGATCACCAAGATTTCGTGATTTGCTGCCAAACTTATTCAAATTCCAAGATCTTATATCAAATTGGTATATCAATATAGATTCGATCCGATATCTCTTATTGAATTGCTGATTCAATGAGCATTCTCAATATTATGCCTTGAAGAGGACTCGAACTTCCACGCTCTTTAGCACGAGATTTTGAGTCTTGCGTGTCTACCATTTCACCACCAAGGCATCTTGAAAGTGAATCGTATTCCATGAAGATGATATCTATCTAGTGTGATGTATGGAATATATGACAAAGGGGGAGTGTTGGAGTATTTCTATTGATCTGTCATGTCATTTAGGCCCCAATCGGACAATCAATTGCTTCGATTTGAATTATCCGGAGGATGCCTTATATATATTAATATTATATCAAAAAGATGGACAGTCAAACCTATTTCTCGATTCAATAAAAGCCCAAATAGAGTGAATAGGGTCCCAAATATTGATAGATGCTTAAAAAGCAGGTTCGATTATGCCTACTCCTAATCCTAAATGAAATGTAACGACGTAGGGATCCATATGAAAACATAGTATCTATTTATATATATTTCATGTGGTGAATACTCAAATCTATATATATTTCAAAGCTAATTATATAAAGTTTTATGGAAGTTTCATCATCATCAACCTTACACAAGTTGTAAATCAACATCATATGTTATAATTAAACAAGTCAAAAATCAAATTAAATAGTATGAATAGGCACAATCATAAAACTAAATAGGTACTCCATAACTCATATCAAAGTTTTTATCCTTTCATTTCTAAATCAACATCATATAGCTAAGTAAGTCCAAAATTAAATAAAAAATTCCAAATACAATTATATAACCAAATAAGTCTCAAATCCAATCAAAAATTTCAAGAATATTCATATAACTAAATATGTACCAAATTCAATCAAAGTTTCTTTGCAATCATATATCTAAATTAGTTTCACATCAAATCCGAATTTCAAGAACAAATTCAACTAAATAAGGCTAAAATAAAATCAAAGTTTCTAATTGCAATCCTTTAATTAAAAATATCCTAAATAAATCAATTTGCGTATACTATTGATATGCAAAATTATGACCAACCAACAAATCAAAACAAACACAATACCAATAAACTCCTTAGCATAATTAATCAAGTACTACGCTCTCCAAATCTACCACTAGACTAAAGGAGTCATTTTACTAAAAACATGTTTATTAAAGATTCACATCGGAATACAAATTTACGAGAACAATAGATCAACTTCTTTATATAAGATATTAATTGCTATAAAAATTCTTACTTTCAGAAACTTCAAACTACAAGATCTTTCAGTCGATTCTCATATTCCTAAATTATTTTGGCAATAATGGCTATTTTCAAATGGCTCATCCAATCGGAAACCAAAATGGTGTCATAGCAGTGAAAGTGATTCCAATAATTAATTCCTCACAGAAGCAGCAGGGAAATTGCAGTGACTACTGCTGAAATTTATTTATTTTCCAAAGCATGCTTTTTTCAATTGAAGAACTTGCATGATTCTTTCCTTTCCTCTGACTTAACAACAATCATGCGCTTTCCAACACGGAAATAACACATCAAGTTTAACATCGATAATGGCGGTAAGGAAATTGATTTTCAATTGCATTTCTGGGTTCATGAAAATTCCCCTCTCTATAATTTAAAAGACGGATTTTTAATCTCTTTTTAGAAGACCAAAACGAAATGATGTAATTTTAAAGGGGCAAGTATAATACACTAAGAATGATAGAAATTTAAGAGAGTAGAATTAGAGGGGGCTAGAGGTGGGCAGGGACAGACCCAACCGGGGACCGGTCTCATTTGGGACCAGTCTTTCATGGGTCTGGGACCGGTCCCAGGCCCATGAAAAATATTAGGGACCAGATTGGTCCTTAGGACCGGTCCTAGGCCCATAGGACCGATCCTAGGACCGGTCCCATGGGCTTAAATAATTTCATTTACCCCCTATATTTTTTATCTATTTAGGGACTTAATCAAAATTATATAGGGGCTTTAATGTAATTTTGTAGGGGTAATTTGCAAATTTTTTAATTAATAAATAATTAAAAATTAAATATAAATTAATGATTAAATGTTAATGAATAATGACTTAATTCTTAATTGGTTATAAATTTAGGGTGTTTTTAATTCAAACTTTAAGAAGATAATAATAATTTAATTTTAAGTTTTAACATAAATATAATATTGACACAATCACACTTCACAAATAAACAATTAAATAAATTTAATTTTATTAAATTATTAATTAACATCGTCAATAATATTTACATTCTCCAAATATGTGTTTCTGAAGAGGTTGAATAGTTCAAGATCTTCAAGGTGCTACTGATCTCTTTTATCCGCATGAGTCCAATCCCGTAAACATGTTATGACTTCAACAATCTCATTGGTTAAAGAACATCTTCTCTCTTCAACAATGCGACCACTAATTGAGAATGCTGACTCTGGTGCAATTGTCGAAACAGGCACAGATAAAATGCCACGTGCCATTTAGGCTACTATGGGGAATTGACTTGCATTGTGGTTCCATCATTGAAGCACATTCATCTCATGTTTCTCCTTCGTGATCATGTAGAACATGTCCATTTGTAGGTACCGATGCAGCTCATTTTGTCCAAGTTGTCTGTACGAGCTACTACTTCCACCACCATCGTTGCTGCATTCCACAAACCTTCAGATGCTCGTTCCTTGCCATTCTTGGTCTTCATCAGGGTCCTACTGCTCATCTCTGCTGGTGCTGGACACTCCAATGTGCCTAGTCTAATACAAAGAAAAAAGGCTTTCCAATTTTCTGTTAAATTCTATCAAATAAGAACTATAGTCATATTGTTATTATGGCCTATCTCAGTAACTGTACAATTAAATACGCTTGATTTAAATCTAGGATCTACAATAAGACCTAATCCATATAAGAATAGAATATCTAACCAATATTTTCGGTATTTTTTTCCATTGGAACAACAATGGCGCACAAATCTTCATTATATCTATATGCAGCAAAAGTTGTAGAAATTCGAAGTAAAACATCTAACGGCACATTAGTAGTAGGATAATAAATACCACTTAATAAATTGTTGGAATTGTAAAAAGCTTTAAGATACCAAAAAAAATGATTCACAAACTGTCCAATCGGATTCGTTGACGACTTCCTTCGGATAGTTCTTCTGGTTGACGAACTCTATAATTTATCTTGCGGTTGGTATAGCTTTTTCCAACATTAGGTATGTGGAGTTCCAATGGGCAGGCATGTCCATAGATAACTTCTTTGGTTCAATCAACGGATCCTCTTAGCGACAATATTTGCAGAATTTAGTCCATCTTGAATTGCTACTAGTGATGAATCCGTTAGCCGCATGCACCCTTTCAATCCTTGAATGTATAGCTTTTAAACCTGCTTTAACAGTCAAATTGATGATGTGGTAAGCACATCTCTGGTGAAATTTTTTTCCTTCGCCATGTGGATCCAATCTCTTTTCATATAAAGAAATTGTCAAGGTGTTAGCAGCTGCATTATCAAGCATTAGCCCCACAACTATCTCAAATAATAAATATTCTTGCAAAACTTCAATAATCATAAAATAAATAGTTTCAAGACTATGTTTTTCATATAATGCTTTAAAACCTATCAATTTTTGTTGTAAATGTCAACCATGATCTAGATAATGTATTGTGACACTAAAAAAATCTGTTTTTGATCTGGCAGCCCATATATCTGAAGTAAGTGCAATAGATATATTTCTAAAATTTTGAAATTCTCTTTGAAGTTGATTTTTATTTTATCATAAAGGGTTTTTATGTCCCTTCTAGTTGTAGCTCTACTAAAAGGGGTAAATGCTAGACAAAAAACAGTTTTAATTGTTTGAACAAAATAAGGATTTTCAGATAAAGAAATAGGAGAGTCTATAGCACATATGAATTTTGCTATTTCCTCTTGTGTTATGAGTGCATTGTAATTCCATGTTGAGAGAGTTGATTTTGAATTTGCCTACCTAGTGCGGTTGAACTTGAACCGGACTGGCAGGACTGCTACATTTGTTGGGGGTGCTTCTTCTCTAAGTGTCATTGCATCATCGAAGTCCCGTTCTCAGCGTTGATAATGGTTGAACAAAAATCACATTCCCCCCACGTCTCTTCCCCTAACCCATTTAGCTTTGGCCATTTTGATTTGGTGAAGAATTGCCATACCCCAGACACAACCCTCTTTGATGGTCGGGTCGTGGAGTCGTAGCTTGCTTGTGTTTGTTTGGACCCAGTCCTGGCCGTTTGTGGTTGTGGAATTGGAGTTGCTACCTCATGAAAGGGTGAAAATGGATCGAACCCTTCCATTTCTTCTGTGGATGGAACGTAAAATTCATTTGGGGATGATCATCCGAATGCATAATTTTGGGAATCCATTATGAATTTATAATAAAATAATAAATAATTAAAATGAAAGAAATTGAATAATAATATGAATAATAGATGAAATTGAAAAATGGAAAAAAATGAATAATATAAATAATAATATGAATAAATGTAAATATAAATTGAATTGAAGAGAATTTGAGAATTGGAGTATAGAGATTGAGAGAAGAGAATAGATTGAGAGTTGAGTTATGAACAAAATGGAGGTTTAAAGGGGTTTCTATAGTTGACATTTGGGGGGGAAGTGCAAAAAAATAAAGTCTGTCGTCCCCCCCCCCCCCCCCCCCAATGTGACTGTTGATCGTTNGTGCAAGAATTGATTCAGAGGTTAAGGCCTTTGATTTCAACTCATAGGTAGAGATTCAACTCCCTTAGAGGCCACATATTTGAGATATTATACACTACCAAACATTCGGAAATGGTATCCAATTTAGAGCTCATTGAACATATAAGTTTGCAACTCCTTTCTTTTAGCCAAAAATACAAAATAATACTAAACCTACAACCTCCACCAAAATAACACCAGTTCCCTTACAAAACTTTCCTTGTCATATTAGCCATACGCTTCACCTGTTTCTAGCGATTCACACAGCATTATCAAATGATACAAGTCTTGGATACGAATCTACAACACACTAGAACAGCTTGTAGACGGTCCTTTCTCCAATAGCATCTAGGGTTCCTCAAACAATGCGATATCTCACACCCATTAAATCCTTAACCCTCCCCCCTCTTACTAAGACTAGATTTTTTTTGTAAATTACGTCCCAATACCATGTATACAAGTAGTGATTTTAAACCTAGGGATTAATCGTACTTTTGGAACTTTACAATTAGGCAAATTTTTTTTTTTTGGGGGTGATACTGAGCAATTCTCTACCCATGCATATAGCTCAAAAGAAAAGGAATGCCCAGAACCCAGCTGAAGATGTTATATATAGAAAGCACATGTTAACAGTTCAACTTACCACAAAATTTTGGGGTTCATTAATATCTAACACCTGACCTGATCCTGGTTTTGATGCTTCAGTCATTTCCATAGCTTCATTTTTGCCTAGCTGCTCTATCACCTTTGCATAATTTACCTAAAACCACAATATATAGTTAAAAAAAAGCTCATAAATCAATAAATAGAAAGCAAATTAATTTTTTTTTTTTTTTAAAAGAAGCAATAGATTGAAAATTTATAGCCATTCAAATCAACTAGCTAGCTAATATCAGCATATTTTGCGTCAAGCATTTTCTTTCTCCAGCTCGGTTTTTCCCAAGAACCAAACAGTAAATAAAATAAACTATGGTTCAAAAAAGACATCAAGCATTGACATACTTTAGCTCACACTTTCCCAAGAAACAGACAGAAAATAAGACATTAAAAGAAAACAAAAACAAAGCCACATACAGTGACATCCTGTTGATCACAAGACTCAAGCTTCCTCTTCTTCTCCATCTTGTTTCTTCTCATGGGAGCCTCAGCTTCTATCATAGCTTTAAGGTTGTGAAAGTCACTCAAATCAGAAATAATTCTATACTCATCTTCACAGAACACACCACTTCTCCTCTTCTTAGCTCTATTTCTCTTCTTTCTCCTCGCTGAACCCTCCGCCTCCATCATTGCTTTCAGGTTCTCAAAGCCACTCAGATCAGAAATCATTCTGTACTCTTCAACCTTCGTGGTTTCCACAGATGTAATCGTGCCTGCATCCTCTTTTTCAATTGCATTATCAATCTACAGCAAACCAAACATACAAATTGATTATTAAAGACAATGGCACAGCAACCATTTTGAAGCCCAAGGAATTGATTCAGAGGTTAAGGCCTTTGATTTCAACTCATAGGTAGAGATTCAACTCCCTGTGAGGCCACATGGTTGAGATATTATACACTACTGAACATTCAGCAATGGTATCCAATTTAGAGCTCATTGAACATATAAGTTTGCAACTCCTTTCTTTTAGCCAAAAATATAAAACAATACTAAACCTACAACCTCCACCAAAATAACACCAGTCCCCTTACGAAACTTTACTTGTTGAATTAGCCACACACTTCACCTGTTTCTAGCAATTCACACAGCTTCATCAAATGATACAAGTCTTGGATAAGAATCTACAACACACTAAAACGGCTTGTAGATGGTCCTTTCTCCAATAGCATTTATGGTTCCTCAAACAATGTGATATCTCACACCTGGTAAATCCTTAACCCTTCCCCTTCCCCTTCTTACTAAGACTATAGAATGTTTTTGTAAATTATGTCCCAAGACCAGGTATACAAGTAGTGATTTCAAACCTGGAGATTAATTGTACTCTGGCAACTTTAAAATTAGGCAAAGTTTGGTTTTTTGGGGTGATACCGAGAAATTCTCTAGCCATGCATATAGCTTAAAAGAAAAGAAATGCCCAGAACCCAGCTGAAGATGTTACATATAGAAAGCACATTTTAACAGTTCAACTTACCACAAAATTTTGGGGTTCATTAATATCTAACACCTGGACTGATCCTGGTTTTGAAGCTTCAATCATTTGCACAGCTTCATTTTTGCCTAGCTGCTCTGTCTCCTTTCCAGCATTGACCTAAAACCACAATATATAGTTCAAAGAAAGCTCATAAATCAATAAATTGAAAGCAAATTATTATTATTATTTTTTAAAAGCAATAGATTGAAAATTAATAGCCATTCAAATCAACTAGCTAGCTAACATCGACATATTTTGCATCAAGCATTTTCTTTCTCCAGCTCAGTTTTTCCCAAGAACCAAACAGTAAATAAAATAAACTATGGTTCAAAAAAGACATCAAGCATTGACATACTTTAGCTCACACTTCCCCAAGAAACAGACAGAAAATAAGACATTAAAAGAAAACAAAAACAAAGCCACATACAGTGACATCCTGTTGATCACAAGACTCAAGCTTCCTCTTCTTCTCCATCTTGTTTCTTCTCATGAGAGCCTCAGCTTCTATCATAGCTGTAAGGTTGTGAAAGTCACTCAAATCAGAAATAATTCTATGCTCATCTTCACAAAACGCACCGTGTCTCCTCTTCTTAGCCCTTTTTCTTTTCTTTCTACTCGCTGAACCCTCCGCCTCCATCATTGCTTTCAAGTTCTCAGAGCCACTCAGATCAGAAATCATTCTGTACTCTTCAACCTTCGATCTCCATTTTATTGTTCCTTCTTCTTTATCTTCCTCTTCTTCACTGCTTTTTATCAAGATAATCGGGTTCTCCATTTTTACGTTCCTCCCTCTGTCATTTTCCGGGAAGATAGAGGTAAAATTTAGGAAACTTCAACTTGGTATGCTGTATTGCTGTGTCCTAAAGTCTTAGACCACGTATAGGCTTTGGACAAGTTTGTATTTTGGTGAAATTTTTGGACTTCTCGTAATTGTCCCATCTCCAAGTTGGTGTAACTTTCACGTCAAATGGTTGTATCTTTGGATAGCATTTTATTATTGCATTTTTAACCTATTATATCAAATATTACAGCATCTCTAAGTTCTAGTGAAAATTAAACAACAACATAAATAGAAAACATGTATATAAATGAAGAATAAAAATATAAATAAAAACATAAATATTAAACATATTAAAAAATATAAATTAAAATATATATGGGATCTTTTGCTATCTATAACATTTTCAGAGTATTACATCACCCTTGAGGTTGAGAGAAACTTAGAAATATGAAAGAAACATGGAAGAAGTGTAGTAAAGATGTGTAGAGAAAGTATGGAAGTGTAGAGAAAATATAGAAATGAAGAGTGAGAGAAATAAATAAAAGTGTTTACAAAGTTTACAACAAAGTTCCTCCTCCTCCCCGAAAAGGTAAAATGCTTTATTTATAGATACAAAGGATACAACTACTCATAAATGAGTCATTAAATACAAGACTAACCTTTCTTACTTTGGTTTTTTTTTTTTTTTAATACATTAAGTAGCCTACAATTCTTGACTTTTTTACAAAGGATACGGGAGATATTACATTGAGATGACATATTGCCATTTAGTCCACCCTTATTTTACATAAAGGACACAACTATTTATTTTAAGACACGCGGGTCTTTAATCGTCTGACAGATTGGTAACGTGCCACGAGTCTTCATCTTGGAAGTCGAGACAACCCATTGATTGAATCCAGTCAGTAGGGATTTGTCGGGGAGATATATCTGGATAAGTATCCGAAGAAATGTTTGGAATCTGAGATGTTGGCGCTGCAGATGTACGTGGTGCATTGCTTGGATTTATGGAGATAGTAATCACGAGACCGCTGAAGCTCTTTTTCCTGCACAGTATCTGGCTGTGAGTCCGAGTACCACCATTCTGGATAGGTTGAATCAGCATCGAATTGAGCATTGACGGAACGTATGCATGTCTGTTTGGCTTAGAGTAATTTCTCAGTGTAGTCTGGAGGAAAGAGTTCCCATGGAGCATCATCGTGAAAGGATGGCCATAATGCATTTGGAATGATCTGATTTTTTTCAAAAAGGAGTTTTTGAATTGATCTAGTCTCAACAGCATGATCAAACATATTATGGACGAGGTCATATGGATAAGACCGATGAAATGTGACTTGATGCTGTAAAAAATATAGGCCGTCAGATCTGATAGAGTGATGTCTGTGAAAAAACATTATAGACCATGCCATTTTGGTAGACATAGGACCTTTGTATCAGGCAAGTTGGTGAGCAAACACAGATTTCCATTTGTCGAGGGTTTTGAACCATCGGAGAAAAGTCATCAAAGAGCGGAATTTAGGGGTTGAAGTTGACTGGTATTGGGAAATTATTTTCAACATATGATGGATCGGGAATTGAATAGCAATGTGGTATTGATGTAACATATACCAAAAGAACCATAATAATTCCTCTGGAAATATGATATCAAGTCTTGGAGGTAAACAAAAGATTTTTGAAAAGGGGAAATCTGGATGGACCCCTAACATATCATACATGGATTGACCACATTTTTCAATGCATTGAAGTTGGTAAGAAAACATGAGGGTGGTAGCATTTTCATCAATGGTACGAGTTCGAACAAGGTCATCAAATTCAAGAGGTACGTCTGGAGTATGGTTTGGTGAAGAGGATGATGAACAAGAACTGGACTGGGTTAATGGTTGGAACATGAAACATGGAAGAGGTTTGGATCTAGGGTTCATGAAACCAACTTGTTTAGTTTTAGGTCTGGATAAATAATCTGCAATGGTGTTGGTGTGACCTTTGATATGCTAGACAGTGAAGGAATATTTACTGAACCATTCTGCCCAACGAAGTAACTGCTAATGCGGAACCTTTTTCTTGTGGAAACGTAGCATTGGATCAAAAGACTTCATATCCGTTTCAACAAAGAAATGATGTCCAACAAGGTGGAATTCAAACATTTCAATGGCATTTTTTTACTGCTAATACTTCCTTGAAAGTAGAATGATAATGCTGCTGGTGTGGTTTGAATTGTCCACTCTGGTATCCGCACAAATGTCGTACCTTGTTTTTATCTTGCTCAAAAAGCACTGCACCCCAATGAGTGTCACTAGCATCCGTCTGGAGAATGCGTTTCCCTGAAGAAGGAATCTTCAACAGCTGTGTATGGAAGGATGGGCGCTTAAGACTTTTGATTGCATTTGTTTGCTTTTCAGACCACTCTAGAGGATTCTTCTTAAGCATCTGGGAAAGCGGAGTAGTGAAACGAGAAATGTTGGGAATGAAACTGCGCATGTAATTGGTAATTGCCAAGAATTATTGTATCTCTTTCTTGGTTGTGAGAATATCTAGGAATTTTTGCAATTCATTAGCAATATGAGGTTAAAGATCATATTTGCCATCAGCAATCACCATACCAAGAAATTCAATCTTTGTTTGTCCTAACTGCATTTTCTTCTCAGAGAGCATGATACCATAAGTGTGGATGATATCAGCAAAGTCATGAAGAAGACGTATATGAGATTCCTTATCTTTTGAAAAGAGAAGGATATCATCGATATAAAAGAGACATCTACGCAGAAGGGGAGCAAAAATCTTCGTCATGGCTTTCTGAAATAGGGAAGGAGTGACTTTAAGTCTAAAAGGCATGACTGTCCACTGGTAGTGTTGATTGGGAATGCAGAAAGCAGTCTTATGATGATCATCGGGATGAATTCCAAGTTGCCAAAATCCAGCTTTGAGATCAAATTTGGAAAACATCGTTGCATTATGGAGATTTGCAAAAAGAACTTGTCTGGAAGGCAAAGGAAATTTATCTTCACGAAGAAAGAAATTCAAGGGTTGATAATTGATAACAAGTCTGAGTTTTCCTCTGGCCTGTTCTGCCCGTTTATTGACATAAAAAGCTTCACATGTCCATTGAGAGTCTGTGGGTTCAATCAATCCTTGAGATAAAAGCTGAGTACATTCTTGTTGGGCGAGACTGAGATGTTTGGGTGACATGCCTGAATGACTAGCTTTAGTGGGATTGATATCTTCGCTCTTGATGAATGGAAGGCGGATAAAGAATGTCGAATTCTTCCATAATGGATGAGCACATTAAGTGAGAAAATCAGCATGAGAGTCTGTGCAAGAATGGGAAATAAGCTGGGTCTTGATCTGCTCAATAGGATTGCCTTCAATCTGGAATAAATTAGGCTGTGTGGTCCAAGATTGGAAAAACATCTTGTACCGAACACCATTAGGGAGGATTCTAAGTTTATTAAGTTTAGAATAAACATCAAAACCTAGAACCATATCTTCGCCAGGTAGATCAGAACCAAGAACTTTATGAAAAGTGAAACAGCCTGGGAAAATTTGGATTGTAATTGGTTTGCTAATCAGATGAGTAGTGAAAGTCTCACTATTAGCAGTGTAGAAGATCTCCTGATGAGGTTTCCACTGAGAGGCTGGGAGGATCTTAGGGTTGATAATAGTACGAGTAGCACCAATATCAAAGAATGCGATGACTGAAACAGGATTTGAGTATTTAGTGGGGAAGATCTAAACTTTTGCTGTAGGTATGTGACATGAGAAGGCTAATGATGGAAGGGATTGTGGTGCTTGTTGGATATGGTAGAAATAGTGATAATCATCTAAATTAAAGTACTCAGTATCAGTGGTTGCAAACTGGAAAATGGTGTCTGAAGTGGGTTCGCCATCCATTGAAAACCAACTTTCAACATCATCATCAGAAAAATCGATATCTGTGAGTTGAGAAAGTTGTTGCATCATTTTAACTGACTGCTTGGGCTTGTTTGGACAATTTTTGGCAAAATGACCCGGGCGGTTGCACAAATAACACCGATTAGACCGTTTGCCTTTGCGTTTCCTTTTTCGAAGAAACTTGCGGTTCTTGAAATGTCGAAATTTGCGTCGAGCCAGAGCATTAGGTAGAGAAAACTTGATGTGTCTAGAATGAAACTTCTTCTTGGTAGGACAAGAACATGAGCAATCTGATTGCATTTGATCTGCAAGTCTGGTCGTTGACAAACCTTTGTCAGCTGTTTAGAACGCTTCATATAATCATCAAAAAATTGTTTTTGAGAACAGAGTTTTTCCAGAGCAAGAATAACAAACTGATAAATTTCGCCGAGAGAAGTGGATCCAAGTTGTTTGTTTTGGGACTGCACAAGCTTGGTTGCTTCATGACTTAGGGATTCAGGAATAGATGCCAAAAAGGCTTGCTTCATCTTAGGATCATCCATACCCCTAAGTATATGATATCATTTTACCATCTCTTTGTAATGCTTGTCAAGATCTTTCTTTTTTAGAGAACAGCACCGCATCTTGAAATATTCTTCTCTAACCTAGTTCTCATAAAGGTGAGGTAATCCACAGAATTCATCATACAGAAGATACAGAGCTTGGTTGATATCTGGCATTTGGATGAATAAATTTTGTCTATACTCCTGAAGACTTATCCACCCATCACGGAGAATACCACCAAATCTAGCTGTAAACTGTGTTAGTACAGTAGAGACTTGGGCATTAGGTTTCAACATCTCAGCTTGTAACCAGGCCTGAAATTCATACATCTGAGTTCTCTATTTGTGTGGAGGAAGATCATCGACGGTAAAAATGTGGAGCTTTGCTGAAGCTGTATAAGTCACGTTCAGCCGGAGTATGACGAGTTTGTCGATACATAGGCGAAGAGTCTGGAATGGAATCATCACCTTCAGGCATCTCATCATCGACCTCAGAAACAACAGGTGGTCTGGACGATTTAGGTTGATGGGTCATCAGTTGGGGATAAACATGAGGATGTTGATCAGAAGTATCACTATCAGAGT